CTTATCTCATTCCAAACCACTATCCCTCACTTTCCAAAAATAAGGAGTCAAACTTAGATACATGGACGCATTTGAGTGTAAGGAGTATAGCAAACACTTCAGGTTGAATTGTAGAAGCCCAGTTTTTAATACGTGCTCCAATCACTATCAGCTGCTCCAGTGGGCTGGTAAACAGTCATCATCGTACATACATACTCTGCGGAAGTCAGTGCTGAGTCACTAAGGCATCAATACAACAGAAAGTGTCGTGCCTCGCTTCAAGACGAAGCTTAGGTTGCGACTGAAGTATTTTTTTTTTTTTGGAAAGTGAGGGATAGTGGTTTGGATTGAGATAATTTCCCATATATACAGGGGAAATTATCGAATGGGTTTGCCTGAGCATATTAACACTAGTCTGGAGTATTGCTGTACGGTAACGGCCCCTTTCAAGGCAGGCAAAACTGCAGACCTGGAAATACACATATAACTTTTACTGCACGTATAAGTACAATAAAGGACTTAAATTACTGGGAGCAGCTGAAGTCCCTTGACCTGTACTCCTTGGAACACAGGCTAGAAAGATACATTATAATATACATTTGGAAAATCCCAGAGGGACTAGTCCGAAATCTGCACACGGAAATCACTCCCTACGAAAGCAAAAGACTCGGGGGTCGTCCCACAGTTACTAAAAACAACAGACATAGCCCCACTCCACAAAGGGGGCAGTAAAGCAACAGCAAAGAACTACAGACCGATAGCACTAACATCCCATATCATAAAAATCTTTGAAAGGGTCCTAAGAAGCAAGATCACCACCCATCTAGAAACCCATCAGTTACACAACCCAGGGCAACATGGGTTTAGAACAGGTCGCTCCTGTCTGTCTCAACTATTGGATTACTACGACAAGGTCCTAGATGCACTAGAAGACAAAAAGAATGCAGATGTAATATATACAGACTTTGCAAAAGCCTTCGACAAGTGTGACCATGGCGTAATAGCACACAAAATGCGTGCTAAAGGAATAACAGGAAAAGTCGGTCGATGGATCTATAATTTCCTCACTAACAGAACACAGAGAGTAGTCGTCAACAGAGTAAAGTCTGAGGCAGCTACGGTGAAAAGCTCTGTTCCACAAGGCACAGTACTCGCTCCCATCTTGTTCCTCATCCTCATATCCGACATAGACAAGGATGTCAGCCACAGCACCGTGTCTTCCTTTGCAGATGACACCCGAATCTGCATGACAGTGTCTTCCATTGCAGACACTGCAAGGCTCCAGGCGGACATCAACCAAATCTTTCAGTGGGCTGCAGAAAACAATATGAGTTCAACGATGAGAAATTTCAATTACTCAGATATGGTAAACACGAGGAAATTAAATCTTCATCAGAGTACAAACAAATTCTGGCCAAAATAGAGCGAAACATCAACGTCAAAGACTTGGGAGTGATCATGTCGGAGGATCTCACCTTCAAGGACCATAACATTGTATCAATCGCATCTGCTAGAAAAATGACAGGATGGATAATGAGAACCTTCAAAACTAGAAGAGCCAAGCCCATGATGACACTCTTCAGGTCACTTGTTCTATCTAGGCTGGAATATTGCTGCACACTAACAGCACCTTTCAAGGCAGGTGAAATTGCTGGCCTAGAAAATGTACAGAGAACCTTCACAGCGCGCAAAACGGAGATAAAACACCTCAATTACTGGGAGCGCTTGAGGTTCCTAAACCTGCATTCCCTGGAACACAGGCGGGAGAGATACATGATTATATACACCTGGAAAATCCTAGAGGGACTAGTACCGAACTTGCACACGAAAATCACTCACTAACGAAAGCAAAGACTTGGCAGACGATGCAACATCCCCCCAATGAAAAGCAGGGGTGTCACTAGCACGTTAAGAGACCATACAATAAGTGTCAGGGGCCCGAGACTGTTCAACTGCCTCCCAGCATTCATAAGGGGAATTACCAACAGACCCCTGGCAGTCTTCAAGCTGGCACTGGACAAGCACCTAAAGTCGGTTCCTGACCAGCCGGGCTGTGGCTAGTACGTTGGTTTGCATGCAGCCAGCACTAACAGCCTGGTTGATCAGGCTGTGATCCACCAGGCCTGGTCACAGACCGGGTCGCGGGGGCGTTGACCCCCGGAACTCTCTCCAGGTAAACTCCAGGTGGTGCAACATCCCCCCCCCAAGGCCCAGTGAGAAGCAGGAGTGCCATGAGTGCGCTACGAGACAGCACAATAAGTGTCAGGGGCCTAAGACTGTTTAGCTGCCTCCTAGCATACATAAGGGGGACTACCAGTAGACTCCTGGCTGTCTTGAAGAGGAATCTGGACAGGCACCTAAAGTCAGTACCTGACCAGCCAGGCTGTGGTTCGTACGTCGGTATGTGTGCAACCAGCAGTAACCACCTGGTTTATCAGGCCCTGATTCACCGTAAGACCTGGTCATGGATCGAACCACGGGGGAGTTGACCCCCCGAAACACTCTCCAGGTATACGACAGTAGCCTTTTTTGTTTCCACAAGACTTTACAATTAGATTTTCTTGGTTGTCACAAGACTTTGTCACCAAGGGCTCTGGTGGTGGGGCTCTTGTGGCCTGTCATGCAGGAGCCATATGTCTATGATACATCCAACAAAATCAGCAGACAGACTCTTAGATGTCACTACTGCCCGGCTCCGGTGACATGTAATTATCTCTGGGAAGTTGCACCAGCATCGCTAGATGATGGAGATATAACCAAGAGGGACTATTGTCGCACAATACGTCATTATGTGTTGAAATGTGATAAAATTAATGAATTCTGAGACAATTCACCTACAAATGTTAAGAAATATCAGAGTATTTTATACCCAAAGCGGCGTGTTACCAGCCATTTTGGAAAAATACTCTGCCTTTGTAAACAACTCATAACCACTGAAACTTGTTTAAATTCAGCTATACCTTCTTGAAATATAAGGTAACATAAATAATTTAAAACCGCATTTAAGCTACACCGTAATGTTTTTGTGAATGAATTCTTATCTGCATAAGTAACCCATTCGATTGTAACCAGATGATAAACATGTTAGTTCATCACTACTTTAATTTACTAACTAAACTGTCTAGTAAACTAATGCCACAAGGAGGACTACTAGAATTAATAGGTGTCCTGCATGTCAACCCAGAAAATGATCCCGGCGGGGTGGAAACATTTCGACATGTTTCCTTACACCTGTTGTCTTGTTCACCTAGCAGCAAATAGGTACCTGGGTGTTAGTCGGCTGGTGTGGGTCGCATCCTGGGGGACAATATTGACGACCCCAATGGAAATAAGACAAACAGTCCTCGATGACGCACTGCCTTTCTTGGGTTATCCTGTGATAACTTATCTTGGGGAACGACTCGGTGGTGGCAGAGGAGGGTGAGGGAGATACATGTAAACAGAAATGTAATTAAGACGATCCGACTTTTTTATACAAGTAAATAAAATGAGGGTGGACATTGACATGGAGGAAGAATACCTAGCCAGTGAAAATGTGATATAATAATGATTAAATAACCCTACTGTGTTGCATTATAGAGGAACTGTTCTGTAAACTATATAGTTTAGTGGAATAACACTGTCAACGTCTAAGGAACAGAGACCTGACAGGAAGCGGGTGCAATATATAATACGGAGGATAACTTTTGCAATAAAAGTAGAGATTATATAAATAAGATAAGTTCATAAATAATTTAAATTAACTGAATATAAGTAGCATAAATACTAACTGAATCAGAGTTTAATTAAGTTGCATAGGTGTTCATTGTGCCACCAGGCCCGGTGGCTGGTGAGCTCCCGCTTCACACACGGAGGGCCCGGGTTCGATTCTCGGCGGGTGGAAACATTTCGATACGTTTCCTTACACCTATTGTCCTGTTCACCTAGCAGCAAATAGGTACCTGGGTGTTAGTCGACTGGTGTGGGTGGCATCCTGGGGGGCAAGATTTGAGGACCCCAATGGAAATAAGTTAGACCTCGATGACGCACTGACTTTCTTGGGTTATCCTGGGTGGCTAACCCTCCGGGGTTAAACATCCAAACGAAATCTCTCTTATAACTTAAATATTACAAAACCTGGTCGCACACCTACTTAAACTTGATAATATGAAAGATAATGAAAGGAGTTTAATGACAGTACACTGCAGACAGCTGAGAGGAGTTTAATGACAGTATTACAGGACCCCAATGGAAATTAGTCACCCTGTCTGACTTATTTTGGGTTATCCTAGGTTCTTTAAACATATGCTGTTATGTATGATAAGCTATGTAACTGTATCTATGTATACCTGAATAAACTTACACTGCAGACAGCTGAAAGGAGTTTAATAGCAGTACACTGCAGACAGCTGAAGGCAGTGTAGCTTCACACTAACATATATATATTTGTGAGAATGGCAAGAGTATATGGACTGTATTTTATAGAACACAATATAAACTTGTACCTGCCTATGTATATGTAGTCAGTATAAATTACACAGAAGATGGAGGAGGGAAAGTGTAATAATAATTGTAAATCATTGAATAGCAGAAGTCTGCCAGTACAGGCTGGCAAACTTCACTAATGTCCCCATGAAACTCTTAATATATTGGAATATACTAACTACTCAGAATTTATTTTTATTTTATGATGTAATATAGACCACGGTAGTTGCACAACCCTGGTGTGCCAAAGCTTGAGAAATAATAATCATAATTGGTAAACTATTTAAGAGCTCACACTTAATAAAAACTAGTAATGTTACCACCTCTGCCTAGCGTGTTAGGTGTCCTTATATAGAATAATAAACTTATATCAAAGGGATTCAGCCATATAATAGAGATTCCAGGTGAAACAGTGGTTACATGCAGGCAGATAGTTCTATAATGAATTAAATGTGTCAGAGAGAGGAGTATGGAAGTGGTAATGAGAGACGCATGCGTACTAACATGGTGGTCGCTGCTGCCGCCACTGGCGCCGCCGCCGCCGTGCCGCCGCTGCTGCCGCCGCCGCCGCCGCCGCTGCTACCGCCACCATCGCCGTCGCCGCCGCCGCCGCCGCCGTCGTCGTCAATACTCGCCGCCATATTGTTGTCATCTCCGCCCTCATTACATATTACGGGAGGCTGTGGTAGCACTCTTACCTGGGTAAGTAACACTTGTGGACACTGTGACATTATAGTTACCATGGTAGTGGATGGTGATGGTAGTGAGGTGTGGCTACCATCACTATCATAACATCATCATCATCACTCAGCCTGTAAACAAAAGCCTCTCCACTTACAAATTATAATTAAGTCAATTAATTTTGAAAATAAAGTTTGAAAATACCCGTGAGATGGATACATGTTTGGCTGAGAGAGAGATCAACATATATTACTGAAGAGTGGTAATATATTCAAGTTTGAAGGGGACGGTGGGTCGTCTTATTACCTCATAATAAATACCAGAATAAAAAGCTACAACACCATGGCTACAACACTTGATCAAAAACTCACACTTAGGAAACTTATGACAAGGTTTGGACCAGTTCTTGAATACTGGTGTTATTATATAGAGGAGGTAAAGCTAGGTCATGACACCACAAGTGATCAACCTGGTTTATCTCACCTCTACCATTTCTATTTATTTATTTATTTATTTATTTATTAATTTTAGCATACATACAGAGGTACAAAAAATACAGGTAAGAGCAGCATGCCAAAGCCACTTATATGCATAGCATTACGGGCTGGCTTAAAATTAACTTAAGATTAACTAAGCAATGATAATCAGTGATAAAACATTAATGTAAACAGATAACTATAAAGCACAAATGAGTATTACAAAGACAGGTCATATGGTTGCATGCATTGTTGTACATTCAGTCGAATGGAGTATTCTGTTAGGTAGTGTATTTAAAAAAAATAACAGTTAGGTTTAACATTTGTGTGATATAATTGTGAGTAACATTTAGGATATACAATTTATAAGGTTCAGTTATTCAGTATTTATTTGGTTTTGGGTGAGTAAGTGATCTTTGAGAAGAGACTTGAATTTATAAACAGGTAGTGTTTCTTTTATATTTTCAGGTAATGAATTCCAGATTTTAGGGCCTTTTATGTGCATTGAGTTTTTGCATAGCGTGAGATGGACACGAGGAACATCAAAGAGTGATCTGTGCCTTGTATTATGGTCATGTGTTTCTGTTGAGGTTGGCAAGGAGATGTTTGAGGGGAGGGTTAATATCAGAGTTAAGTGTTCTATGTATGTAATAAGTGCAATAATAAGTATGGATGTTTTGTATGGTGAGTAGGTTGAGTGTTTGAATATTGGTGGAGTGTGCTGCCTGTAGTGAGAATTTGTTTATCATTCTAACTGCAGCCTTTTGTTGGGTAATTAGTGGTCTGAGATGGTTAATTGTTGTTGAGCCCCATGCACAAATTCCATAGGTGAGATAGGGGTAAATAAGAGAGTGATAAAGGGCCAGGAGGGCTGACTGTGGAACATAGTACGTATCTTCGATAGTATGCCTACAGTCTTGGAAATTTTCTTAGAAATTTGTTGTATATGTGTATGAAATTTGAGTCTATTATCAAGGTGGATTCCTAAGAATTTTCCCTCTGTTAGCTTTGTGATAGGTGATCTGTTTATCGTTATGTTAAGAGGTACATCTGTAGCTCTGTTACCAAACTGAATGAAGTAAGTTTTGTCAATGTTTAGTGTAAGTTTGTTAGTCCTCATCCAGGTAGATATTTTCTGTAATTCGGTGTTTACAGTATTGGCTAGCGTGACTGGGCTCGGGTGAGAGAAGACGTATGTAGTGTCATCTGCAAAAAAAGTGTGGGTTTGAGTAATTGCGAAGCATTTGGTAGGTCATTTATGTATAGGAGAAAGAGAAGAGGGCCAAGGACACTTCCCTGTGGGACACCAACTGTATTGGTTGAGCGAAGAGCTTGCCCCACTTGCGTACACATATTGGCTTCTGTTGCTGAGGTATGACTTGAGGTAGTTGAGGGAGTGCCTCTAATACCATAGTGTGACAATTTTACGTGGAGCAAGTCATGGTCAACTGTATCAAAAGCTTTACGTAAGTCAATGAAGATCCCCAGTGGGACTTCTTTTTTCTCTATTGCAGTGTATATATGTTCTAGCATGTGTATAATAGGATCATTAGTATTTTTATTAGGCCTGAATCCAAATTGGCTGGGGTTGAGAATGTTTGGGAGATGAGGTAGGAGTAGATTCGTTTATGAATTAATTTTTCGAAGATTTTTGAGAGAGGGTGTAAATTGGATATTGGCCTATAGTTATTCAACTCTTTTTGGTCTCCTCCTTTATGGATCGGGGTGACCCTTGCTATTTTGAGAGCTGTAGGGAAGGTGGAGGATTCAGTGGATTTGTTAAAGAGTGTTGCAATGATTGGTGATAGTACTTGTGACACTTTTTTGTATATAAAGGGTAGTAAGGTATTTAAATCTCCTGCCTTGTTTTTTAGTGCGTTGATAATAAGGGAGACTTCGTATGGGTTAGTCGGAGCTAGGAACAGTGTGTTCGGGTAGTTGCCAGTGAGGTAGTCATTTGGTGGGGTATCTGAGCTTGGGATTTTATTGGCAAGGTTTTGTCATGTAGTGGAGAAGAAATCATTAAGTCTGTTTGCTGTTTCTGTTGGTGGGAGTTGGGGTTCATCTGATTTTGCTAATTTTATTTTGCTATTTTGTGATATCTTTTTTGTTCCCAGAATTTCTGATAGGGTCTTCCAGGTCTTTTTTATATCACCTCGTAAGTTGGATAATCTGTTCTCATAATACAATTTTTTTTGCCCTTCTTATCAGGCTGGTAGGATTGACGAGTAACGTTTTGTTTGGTCTCTGGTTATGTGACCCATTCTGTACTGTTTTTCATATCGGTGTTTTTTATTTATGGATTTGAGAATGCTGGGTGTTAGCCAGGGACTGTTCAGTCTCTTAGCTGTCATCTGTTTAGTTTTTTTAGGGCAGTGCTTGTTATAAGAGGTATTGGGTCTTCTTTAGAAAAATTATTAAAACATTCGTCAATATCTGTATAGATTCTAGCTCAGTGTGCCAGTCAATGTTTGTTACTGCTGTTGTGAAGTTATTAATGGCTGCCTCATTGTGAAGTCTGAAGGTGACTTTAGTAGTGTCTTGGGGTATTTTACCAAAAGTTATGAGGAAAGTAGGGTAGTGGTCTGTGGTATTATCTGTAATTATGCCTGATTTTAAAGGGGATATGGTGTTGGTCCAGATGTGATCAAGTAGGGAAACACTAGTCTCCGTAACTCTTGTAGGTTTTGTTACTGTTGGTAGCAACATGCAGTTACTCATTGTGTTTGTGAATTCAGTAACGTGTGGGTCCTGGTCTTGCAGGAGATTTATATTGAAGTCACCTGAGAGTAGTAAGTGATCTTTGTTCATGCGTGCATCAGTTATCATACTTCCTAGGTTTTGACTAAATTGGCTAATGTTTGATTGTGGAACTCTGTAGATGTTTATCACTGTGAGAGGTTTTTGTAGGTATTTGGATTTGAATTTAGCTATTATATATTCCCCATGTTCATCCCTTGTGCAAGTATTAGTGATACATTCTAGTTGGTCTGAGTAGTATATAGCTGTGCCACCCCCTTGTTGGTCTGGCCTACAGTTGTGTATGGCTGTGTAACCAGGATTGGCATAGACATCTGTAGTATCAGGCTTTAGCCAGGTTTCAGTTAGTGTAATGATGGACATATTGGCATGCAAGGAATTTAGTAATGCTAGGAGGTCATCGTAATGCTTGCTTAAAGATCTGATATTGTAGTTAAAGATAGTTATGTTGTTGTTGGCTCTGAGAGTGCCTTTGATTGTTCTGCTGTGTAGTAATTACAGTAACTGTTTGAATCATTTAAGTCATTAAATAAGAGGTTGGTATCAGGATCAATGCTTGTAATCATAAGATTTGTAGTGAATCTATAGTTAGAATTAAGTATAAAACAAAGTAAATATTCTAAAGCTAAAAAAATAGCACCTGAATTATTTAACAAATGTAAAAATAATGAGCTAAGGTAGTTTTTAAAGCTAAAATAAAGGAGACAATATAAAAGGGACTAAAATAATTTGTGGTGAACAAATAAAGTGATGATCAAATAATGGAGCTTGGGAATATGATAGTAGGTAGTACTTTAAAGGTAATTCTTTAAAGTTAGAATTATAATATAAAATTATAATATAAAAGTTGTGGTGAACAATAAAGTGGTAATCAGATAATTGCACTAAGGTCTAATATAATGACTTTTGTGGAGTTTATGTTTTGAGCTAGAATGAGCTATAGTACAACTAGATTTAATCTAATATAAAAATACAAATTAAAAATAGCACCAGTCTCTCACTAGTAATTGCAATATGGTCTAATATAATGAATTTGGTATTGACTATAGTACAACTGAGTTTAATCTAATAATATAAAAAAGGCACAAGACTCTCAATTGTAATTGCACTAAGGTATTATATAAGTTGTTTAGAAGAATTAGAGTATAACTAGATTTAAATTGACAAGACAAAATATACAAGTTAACCCTTTGACTGTCGCGGCCGTATATGTACGTCTTACGAGGTACCGTGTTTGACGTATATATACTCATGAATTCTAGCGGCTTCAAATCAAGCAGGAGAAAGCTGGTAGGCCCACATGTGAGAGAATGGGTCTGTGTGGTCAGTGTGCACCATATAAAAAATATCCTGGAGCACGCAGTGCATAATGAGAAAAACAAAGCCTCCGACCGTTTTTTTTTTTTAATTAAGATGCCGACTTTGTGGTCTATTTTCATTTGATAGAATGGAAAACATATTATAGAAATAGAGGTGATTTTGATTGATTTTACTATAAAAAGAACCTAGAAATGGAGCTCAAAGTAGGGGAAATGTTTGATTTTTGCCAATGTTCAAAAGTAAACAAATGATGCCATTGTCCAATAAATGTCCAATTAGCCATTCTAATATGCAGTCACGAATGGGTTGATGTTATTTATACAATTATTACAGTATTGCAGTAGTCTGCATAATAGTAAGTCTTCTATTTTTTGTTTGAATAAAAATTCAAAATAGAAAGCAAGAGTAATATCAGAGGGGACTGGAGATGTGACTGATGAGCAAAGAAAATGTTATTTTAGAGCC